GGGGAGGGGGGTGGGAGGATGGGTTAGCCTGGTGATGGGTATTGAGGAGGGCACATTCTGCATGGAGCACTGGGTGTTATGCACAAACAATGAACCATGGAACACTACATCTAAAACTAATGATGTAATGTATGGGGATTAACATAAGAATAAAAAAATTTAAAAAAAAAGTTAAAAAGGTTATATAAAAAATTTTCATAAAAGTAAAAAGACATAAAAACAAGTCACAAAACAGAAATGCAAATAAAAAATAAACAAGTGAAAATATTCAACTTTATCAGTAATCAAAGAAATTCTAAGGGAACAGTTTGCAGCAACCATTTTTCTGTTTGGCTATCAAACCTAATACAGGGAGAGTTCTGGGAGGTGGGTGTCCCACACTGGTGATGGAGCCAAGCAACACTTTTGGCCCAGCCATTTTGCTTCTAGGAATTTATATTAAATTAATAGTCACAGGTTTATATAAAACTGCGGTGATAAGAATATGTATAAAAGTGAAAAGGTGTGGATTAGCCCAGTATCCAACCTAGATTGTCTATGCATCAATCATGAACATATAATGTATCATTAAAATGATCTTATAAAATAATATTTATAACATAGAAACATTCATAATATATTTTGATTTAAAAAACAGGAATATGTATGTATATGCTAAGCCCGAGGTGGAAGGATTATGATTAATTTTTTCCCTTTATTTTCCAAATTGGATATTTAAAAAGTATACACATTTTTGAAGGGGTTATATACATTACTCATTGTTCTTCAATACATGCATACATAAACAATAACATATCATTCAATCTTAGTTTAAAAGAGTTCTCAGAAATATTTGCACCTTCAATGCTATACATACGGAGGGGGCTTGTAGGCTTATTCTCTCATGAATCCATCTTGAGGAATCTGGATGCAATAACTACAAGAAAAGCAGAAAAAAATAATTAGAAAACTTCTGTGGAAATCTGCATCATAGATCACCTTCACTAAGAGCAATCTTTGAGGTATGATTACATCAATCCATGTCACTGGTAGGTGAAGCTGAAGAGGTGCATTCAGATCATATTCATATCTTCAGAATATCTGTCTTGTTTTTTTAACATCTTGTTGAAGTAGCTATTTATATAACATTGTATAAGATCCTTAGGAATAAGGATCATTTATTGCAAACTATCCTCCCACTACTTTTTCAGAAAATCTTTGCTACTGGAACTCACCGATGTTTTCTTCTTAGTGGTAGTTGGTTTTCTACAACTTGAATAATAGTTGAGGGTGGCATACTCCATCAGAGCAGCAAAAACAAATAAGAAGCAAACGGTCACAAAGAGATCCATGGCAGTCACATAGGACACACGGGGCAAGGAATTCCTGGCAATGGTGCTGAGTGTGGTCATCGTCAGCACTGTGGTGATGCCTGTGCAGGGAAAAGTTATCAAATTGTAAAAGGAGCCATACAAAATTCCTCCACTCCAACAGTGTTTTATTTTTAGGTCAATCCTTCCTGACATTACATAAATATAGTAATACTTTAATTTTAATGTCTATATAATTTTGCAAGCAACATTTCCATAAAATTTATCATAGTCCATACATTAACATTAAAATACCTGAATTAAGTCAACATCTTTCAGTTTATTCAGAAATTTTCAAATTGTTTCACATTTTGTCTTTTAAATATTTTTTAAATAACTGAGGGTTCTGGGGGGGTGGGGGGATGGGTTAGCCTGGTGTTGGGTATTAAAGAGGGCATGTACTGCATGGAGCACTGGGTGTTATGCACAAACAATGAATCATGGATCACTACATCAAAAACTAATGATGTAATGTATGGTGATTAACATAACATAATAAAAAAATTACACACACACACAAAAAAGATAGTTTGCAGTCCTCCATACATTCTGTCTGTTACACATCTCACACTGTTCTTCTGTCCAGATAAACTGTTTCCTTTCTTACTTTTTCTTTCTGCAATTTATAAATTCCCACCTTTCTTTAAGACCCAGCTGAAGTACCTCTCTTATGAGGTGGCATTGGGGAGAGTTGATAACATGCAAGTCTGCACTACCCTTACCTTCTATATGCCTGATTTCTGCATTAGCACAGAGAATTGCATGTCTTTATAGTCTTGTATGTCTGTCTCTCTGAATAAATTGTGTGATCATTACAAGCAAAACTGTACCTTGCTCATCTTTGCTTACTTGTCATCAAGCGTGGTGCTTAGCACATTTTAGGCATTTCAATGAATGCTTCACATGGAATGCATTGATTCATTGATTAATTAGTTAATTATTAATAGTGTTGGTCTGACTATTTTATATACATGTGTCAATACTAAAGATTATTTATTTTAATTTTAAGATTTTATTTATTTATTTGACAGAGAACACACAAGCAGGGGGAGCAGCAGAGGGAGGGAGAGAAGCAGGCTCCCCACTGAGCAGGGAGCCTGACGTGGGGCCCATTCCCAGATCCTGGGATCATGACCTGAGCCAAAGGCAGATGCTTAACCGACCAAGCCACCCAGGCACCCCAACAGTGGCGACTTCTTATGAGAGTAGACATTTTTTTTGGTGAGGTTGGAGGCTGTGGTGAAAGGATACTTACAGTACTGTTTGTAATGCTTTACAGTTTTCACAAGGAGCAGGTATCTACATATATCTTGGGTAAGGAACACATCAACTTGTTTTAATGTTCCAAACTTATCAAATACAGGAGCACACACTCCTTGTATGGGAAACGAGGTGAATAGCATGACTGTACAAGGTGAATATAATTTAAAAAAAATGCAAGTTCGCTTTTGGAATCAGCAAGATTGGTAAGCAGTCTACTGCACTAGTCTGCAAGAGACAGGAGTGGGTGAACCAGAGCACTGGCAACAGAAAGGGAGGGAAGGATTTAAGATATTTGGCAGGTTGAAGATACAGCAGAAAGGAAAATTGATGGAATGAGGTCTTTAAAGAACTCTGAATGGATTGTTTCCAGGGTACAATGGAGCAATTAACCTTGAACTGCAAATGAAGATTTGGAGTGGCTTTTGAGGAAATGAACAAGGGAGTTGACTGGACATTTTGGGTAAAAACTGCTTAAATGCTAATCAATAGGAGCTAATTAAATAATTTAGGGTAGATCCATAAACTGCTGGGTTTTCATTTAAAGAATAAGATGGAATTCATTCACATTTCGAAAGATCTCTAAGGCAGAGTGATTAAAAAAAAAAAAAAAGCAAGTCAGAGAATACTATACTCCCAAATAGACAAATATACATGTATTTCTAAAAGTCTGGAGAGAAATCAGGTTACCCATAGAGTGGTTTCCCAGACAACAGAAAAGGAAATGATAAAAAAATATAAAACCAAAAATTAAAAAAAGAAAGAGGAATGGGACTTAGCTGGGAAAAGCGAACTTGCATTTTTTTTAAAATACTAAAGATTTAAACAAAGACTGTGGAAAAGAATCAGAAAACAGACACATATGTGATGGATGGTTTAAAAGGAAAAACAAATTAAAAAAAGAAGGGAGGCTACTAAATGTGAAGAAGAATGAAATGACTGGGTGATTATTATACAAAAGGAGTTAAGGCTAACTCTCCTCTAGATGAGCTCCTGTAAAATCAGAACCTGCTAGAGCTCTGGACAGGCAGGCTAGTGACATGGACTCTGGAATCACAGGAATATTGACATAACACTCACTACTTCTGTGCTTGGATGAGAATACTATAAAATATCTACCTGGTAGTAATACTCCGTGATTGGGTAGACATGATGGATAAATACACATTAGTTCCCACCTTTGCTGAGCATCACAACTCCTAAACAGTGCTCCCCTGTACCTCCTCAGGGAGTTAGCCAGGGCCAGTCAGAGAATGAGGCTAACAGCATAGGGTGGACAGCTTAGCCATGTGTAAAAGGATATTGACCTGGAAGTCAAAGCCCTCAGCCTTGCTCTGGGCCTTCTCAGCATTTGGTCATGTAAAATCACCTACCTTCTTTGAATCTGTTTCTTTAATCAGTACAGTGAAAACAGAATGCCAGGCTCTCCTAACTGTAGGTGGGAAAAAATGCTGTGTAAAAAGTCTACACTGATGGTAGATGTGTTTTTATAAAAAAAATGATTTTGTATTAAATATCCAATTTAACTTTAAAAAATGTGGTGACTATATCATGTCTACAGAATATGTAGGTCAGAATTTTTTCACTAAATTTGGGGATTTTAACTTAATTTCTTAAAAAATTTTTATCACATTCATTTTCTCTTCTCATTCTGGAACCCCAGTTATAGTTATACATCTTCATATTGTCCTACAGATCATTGAGGCTTTGTTCATTTTTTTAAATCTTTTTTTTAAAGATTTTATTTTATTTATTTGACAGAGAGAGACAGTGAGAGAGGGAATACAAGCAGGGGGAGTGGGAGAGAGAGAAGCAGGCTTCCTCTGCAGAGCAGGGAGCCCGATGCGGGGCCCAATTCCAGGACCCTGGGATCATGACCTGAGCCAAAGGCAGTCGCTTATCGACTGAGCCACCCAGGCACCCCTTAAAATCTTTTTATCCCTCTCTTCTTAAGATTAGATAAATTTTATATGATGGTCTTCAGTTACGCATGACCTTTTTTTTCTGCCATCTTCCATCTACTATTAAGCCCAGTTAGTGGATTTTTCAATTCAACTATTATACATTTCATTCTAGAGTTTACTTTTTAAAATACTTTACCTGCTGTGATTATCCATCTGTTCATTCATTAACATTATTTTTTCCTGTAAGTCCTTTAACATTGTTATAATAGCTGCTTTAAAACTCCTGTCTGCTGATACAACACCAGATTTGTCTTTTTATATTGACTATTTTTTTCTTGATCATGGGTCACATTTTCCTGCTTCTAAGAATGCCTAGTAATTTTTTATTGCATACTCAATATTGTGGATGATACATTACAAAGATTATGAAGTATGTTATCCTTTTTTAAACCATGTTAAATGCTTTCTTATGACAGTTAATTTACTGGCGGTTCTTGTTGATCTTGTGATGGCTTGGTTTAAGCTTTATTTAGAGGGGGTCTAGAGTACACCTTTAGTCTTAGACACAGCCTTTTCTGGTGTCTCAACTAAATATTCTGGTGTTAATGACATTTCTCCACTCTTCTGGACTGTAAATCTATTATCTTCCAGCATTATGTATTTCTAGTATCTCTATCTCCTCAATGCCCCCGTGGTGACTCTTTGACAGGACTTTCATAGCTTCAAGTTGTGCAACCATTACTACATATTATACTGTTTGGAAGCTGATTTTTCAAGTCATGCTTACTATGACACCTGGCATTTGTAATTGTGAGGTCATAAGCTCAAGAATAGTTACTAAATTTGTGTTGTGACTTTGTTGGATGATTTATCAATTCTATTATGTATTTTCTATAAACATGCAAAACTAACACTGGTAGGGGCATTACAGGCTAGTTTATCTTGATCAAAAAGTACTTTGTTGGTTGAACGAACAAAGAATAAAGTAACAAGTACAGAAAAAACACCATGTAATATGAGAGACTTTGCAAGGATTTTGAAATTGGGGGAGCTCCCTCTTCTGAAAAACATTTTTCAGGGAAAACAACCTTTATATTCAGTCTTATATATTATCTGTTTTCACAAATCAAAATATTGAAAGTTAGGTATTACTCCTATCATAAAGAAAAATTGATAAAAAAAAGTTGCACAATTCTAAAACCACTGGAAATTAGTGTTTTATTAAGAGGACTTTGGGGTCAGAGGAAAACTCATGAAAAGACTTTAAGCTTTAGTGTGTAGATTATAGCTGAAAAGAATGATCACTTTCTTGTTTGATGGTAAAGTTGCTATAGACAATCAGAACTTTTGCTATTGAGAGACAATTTTACTGATATTATGTCTTTAGTCCTCAAAAGTGTGTGAAAAGTTGTCTCTCTTTACACTATTGTAATGAGACTTTTCAGGGTGGCAGATTCCTAGGATGTGACTAATTTTTATGATGACATCATCCTTAGAGCATAATATCAGATGATGCAATTGATTTGTTCTTAATCTCTAACCCCAACTTATTTTAAGTGGCACACTTGGAATTCTACTGTCAGAAAGAAGAGTCTAACTTGACTACTTGAAACAATCTAAGCACAGTTTAAGGAGCCCTCAATTTAGATCAATTACATTTGAACTAAGTCTCTTTCACTGGAAGTATTTTTATGAATAGTTCTGTATTAATATTAATTAATACAAAATGGTGGGAAAGTTTTGTTTTTGTTTTTGAAACTCACCTAATGCTGTTCTTGCTGGTGTAGCATCTTTTTTGATCCAAAATGACACCCAGGATAAAACCACAGTCAGTATACAGGGAATGTATGTTTGAATAGTGAAGTATCCCATTCTTCTACTCAATTCAAAATATATGGTCATGACAACATAATCACCTGTAATAAAATATTGTTAAAAGTAAAACAACTTTCTTTGATTAAAAAATAATTCAGGAAAATAATTTTGTTAAATGTATGACTTGGGTAAAAATATGCAACTACAATAAGATCAAACTGTGAAAAAAGGTCAAAATGCTGGTGTTCTTAAACTTAATTTTTATAAACTTTATTGTATCCATGGCTGCGCAAGACATTTTACTGGTCACTGGAAAAGACAAGCAAACATATTAATTGATAGAGGAGACAGACATGCACATCTATTCTGTGATAGACCATTACTCAATGAGCTATTATTGCTTAGGTCCATCTGTATGTTTCATGTTTAAAATCAAGGGTAACATAACAAAATCCATCAAGCAGATCCATAGTCATTTTGGTTTTTTAATAGTAACAAAGCTAAACATAAACTTTAATACATAAATTTGTGTAACAATTTTATATTTCTATTTTATAGCATGATTTTAGCTTATCAACCTTGTATTTTATGTTTTATTTAATATTTTTATGCTGATCTTAGATTCCTTTCATGGTTCCAGCAGTTAGGCTGTGCCAACCCAGGAAACAAACAGAAGAAATCATTTTATGACATTCTGCTTCCTCCTACTACAGCAAAGCCACACCATAAAAGAGTTGTTACTAGAGAGTCCATAAGATTCCCTGAGGGATTAGGAGAGGGTGCACGCTAAATACATTAGATATTTTATTCCAAAATCATCTCTATTTATGCCCTTTCTAGGCAACCTCCTGTTGAGAGCATGTCTGTCCCCTTCCTCCCACTTGACCTTCACTCAACATGCTGGATTCAGCCTTTTGGCACTTGAAATTCACCATGTCCAGACCTGAACTATCATTTTCCCCCACACCAATGCCTGCTCTTCTCTCACCAAAGCCAAGTCCTTCTCACTATGCAAGGCAGAAATCCAGAAGCCACCTGTGACTCCTCCTTTTCCCTTCTTCATTTCCTGCATTGCTCTCAATTCCTTTCCCCACAAGTGCCAGATTCTATCACAGCTCCCACCTACCTCCTAACAACTAGCCCTTTTCCACTCCAGACCATTCTATGTCCTACCATCAAAAGGATCATTCTAAAACACAAATGCCAGGATATCTCTCTCATAATCCTTCACCAGCATCTTGCTGCTCTTGTATTATTGTCATGACTTTATTATGGTCTATACCATTCTGCATGCAATGCCCCTTGCCCATTCTGCATGCAATGCCCCTTGCCCATTCTGCATGCAATGCCCCTTGCCCATTCTGCTTGCAATGCCCCTTGCCCCTTCCAAAGGAAGTCTTTGCACTCTGGACATCAGTCTCCCGAAGTCCTCAGATATACCAAGATCCTTCCCCATGGGTCAATAAATCTCTTTTCATCTGCCTAGGGTGCTCTTCTTTTCCTTTCCCCTGCACCCCAATAGTTCCATTCACCTTTGAATCTTAGCTTAGAAATCACTTAGTTTACCAGGAAGTCCTCACTGAGCCCCTCCCAACAACTCTTATTAATTCATTTCTATAATTGCTAATATATTTTTCAGACCAATAAACTGGTTAGGTTATAGAATATATCTCTCTTGTTTACCAATGTTACTCAATGATAACTGATTGATTAGTGTTTGTTTAATGAAAAGATCATAATGGAAGTCCCATTTTTACTTAAGAAGATTGGCAGGGAGACTATATTGAGCCCATATGAAAACTGCCTTTCAATAATTAGATTTTTTTTTGTGGTGTTCTGTTGTAGCAATATTCAGGATGGTTGATAGAAACATCAATATTGAGATCATTTTCCAAAAAACGCTTAAAGTTTTAAGCAAATTAACATTTCAGTACAAAGAAATCAGAATGATTAACCTGAAGCAATCAAAAGACACAAAGATATTTTTCTAATATGAATGCCAAGTTACATCATTTCCTGGGGAAATATTATTGAATTATGTGTGATACTTAAATGCCTATTAATTTTTACATAAAATTTTAATTAAAAGCCAAGCAGAAAACAAATGTAGACAGAAAAACAAAACATAATAAATCAGTTATGAACACAGCCTCGATGGAATATCCAGAGTTGAATAATTTCTTCAGCTACCATTGTAGGTTTCTGAGAAAGACAAAGAGGGACAATTTCAGAGCAGACACACAATTCATTTTAGCAAATCTATATGCTTCCCCCCAATCTGAAGTAAATGGACTCTCTACACCTGTGCTCAACATACACTTTTGCCTAACTCAGAGATCTGCTGAATGTCCCACAGGTATGAAGGACAGATGGACTGTCAGGGCCACATTCTGGGCCTGGTCCTATAACTCAGTGGTTTTTGGTGAGGTTTTGGGACACACCCCAAGAAGCAGTTCCAGAGAGGGAGGAATTGTGGGTTCTAGCCCATTGCCCCACACAAGACCAATGCATAGCCAATGTGCCACTCATCCTAAATTGGAAAGAAGGGGCATGGGGTCCTAATTTCCAGATGCATCACATGTTTCAGTACATACTTAATTGTTTGTGTAGGCCTGAGGAGAGGAGAGGAGGCAAAACCCCTCAGAGGTAGCAAAAATCCTTCCCTATATCTAAAAACATGTGGCTGAAAAGTTCTTCAGAGAGGCCAAGTACATGCCTAAATTATATTTGCCATTAGTTTTAGGGCTCTTGGCTGAAGAAAAATGTAGTTCTTTCTATCTGCTCCACTTCTGCAAGTGTACATATACCCACACAGATACATTCCCACACACAAACACTCACACACTGCCATGGACCCAGTCTGCTCCAACTTGGGTGTGAAGCCTCAGCCCCTGCTTTGTGTTCCTTGGAGGGTTTTTTTCCCTCTCTGTAATGTTTTAGCCATGCACCCTTATCAATGTGAGCTTTCCTAATGCAATTCTTGAACTGGACAAGAATGGTTTTGATTTTCTGTGATCAGTTCTTTCCAAACCAAAGGTACCTGGGGTTGTGGTTGACTCTTATGACAGATAATAAGGATCTAGAACCCACAGAGGTCTCCAGAGTTCACCCTGGAATGTGCTTGATGCCCACTTCCCTGGGGAAAATGGAACAGAAACAGTTGGGGAGGGACTGAGAAGCTTCTCTTTGATCCATCAAGGTAAAAAAAGTCATCTTGGGCCTAGTGAAATTATAAAACAAGTTGCTCTTTGCTAGTAGTTCATTTGTGTGTGTGTGTGTGTGTGTGTTTCCTGAGCCAATGTAAAGAAAAATATGTGAAAACATTGAAGGCTTTTTGAGAGAGCATGTGTAGTACTACTTTTTAGCACAATGGCACATATTTATGAAATAAAAATTTATTAAGCTAATACTGTGTTTCATGAAGTTGGAAGTACAAAGATTAATAAGATACAGAAAGTTCTCTCAAAGCTAAAGACTAGCCAGCTGCATCTTCTGTAATTTACCTCAGCATTGTTTCCAGAAAGAACTATTATAAATCATTATTTACTCCATGTCATAGATAACTTTGTTTATTTATTATACCTTAGGCACCAAAAACTTCCTTTGAATCTGTTTTATTTTATTTATTTTTTATTTTATTTTATTATGTTAGTCACCATACAATACATCATTAGTTTTTGATGTAGTGATCCACAATTCATTGTTTTCATACAACACCCAGTGCTCCATGAAGTACATGCCCTCGTTAATACCCATCACCAGGCTAACGCATCCCCTCACCCTCCTCCCCTCTAAAACCCTCAGTTTGTTTCTTAGAGTCCATAGTCTCTCATGGTTCATCTCTCCCTCTGATTTCCCCCCTTCAT